CCATGGCACTTTCAATATTCTCCTCCAACACTATAACTCAAAAGCATCGATTCTTCTATGGTCTTCCTCATTCACTGTCCAGCTTTGCATGCATATGAACTTACTATAAATACCATGACCTTTTTTAATGACCAGTGTTTTTTCATGCTTGATTTACTTGATGGCATTGCACAACTCTTCTGGTCTTCAGTCATTAATGTTTAATGTTTCAAATCTATTCTTGAGATGGTCTCTAACTTTAGGTGGGCTATACTCAAGATCATCATTTGGATCTTGTATACTTGTTTTCGTTTTCTTCAGCTTCAGCTTGAACTTGTATACGAACAATGATGGTTTGTTCTGCAGTTGGCTACTCACAGTTTTTGACTGGTAATATGGAGCTTGTCTAGCATCTCTTTTGACAAATGTAGTTTACTAGCTTATTACTATTATTATTTTAGTTTACTAGATTCTTGTGTATTCCATCAGGCAATATTCAGGTGGATAGTCATCATTTACATTGTTGAAAACATGGTATACCTGAAGAATAAATTGTTGGACCTGAACAGTTCTACAATTTTTCAATCTCTGGTGTCATCTCTCATCAACACCATTTCTTCCTAATTTTTGATGCTTATTCTTTGTTTTCAACTTTCACAATCACCAATAATTATCACTGCATCTTGATTGCATACATGGTCAATTTCAGCTGGCCGAATTTGGTTAAAATCTTCAGTTTCTTCATCTTTGGCATTAGTATTTGGTATGTAAATTTAAATAAAAATTATGTTAACTGGTCTTCCTTAATTTCATGATAGATTTGTACTCTGGGATAGATATTGAAATGTTCTTTTTGATGATGACTGTGTTGTAAATCCTCTTCAAGTAGTCATTTCTGATAGTAGATCAGATGATTAGCTCATTCAAAATGTCCAATGCCAGTCCATTTCAATTCATTAGTGCCTATTTTATTGATTGGTTACAAGTAAAATTTTGCTAAAGGTAATTTAAAAATGGCCACAAAAGTACAGGGACAAAAAATTGCCAGAGGTTCAAGTCAAATTCAGAAGAGGACATGGAACAAGGGATATCATTGCTGACATCAGATGGATCTTGATGGAAAGCAGAGAGTACAAGAAAAATGTTTACCTGTGCTTTATTGACTACACAAAGGATTTCAATTGTGTGGATCATGACAAGGTATAGACAACATTGTGGAAAATGCAGAACCTGTACATAGACCAAAAGGCAGTTGTTTGAGAAGAACAAGAGAATGCTGAGGGGTTTAAAACTAAGAAAGTGGTGCATGAGAGTTGTATTCTTTTGACATACTTTTCAGTCTGTATGCTGAGCACCTAATCTGAGAAACTGGATAATATGAAGAAGAATGTGGCATCAGGATTGGAGGAAGACTCATTAACAGCCTGTGAAATGCAGATGATACAACCTTGCAAAGAGGACTTAAATACTTACTTATGAAGATCAAAGATCATAACCTTCCATACGTAAAGAAATAAAAAATCCTCACCACTGGACCAATATGTAACATCAAGATAAATGGAGAAAAGATTAAAGATGTCACAGACTTCATTTTGTTAAGATAAACTATCAACACACAATAGCAGCAGTCAAGAAATCAAATAACATAGTGAATTAGGTAAATCTTCTGCACAAGACCTCTTTAAAGTGTTCAAGAGAAAAGATGCCAATTTGAGCATAAGGTGCGCTTGTCCCAAGTCATGACATTTTCAATTACCTCAAATGCATGTGAAAGTTGGACAGTGAATAAGGAAGACAGTAGAAGAATTGTTGCATTTGAGTTATGGTGTTAACAGTGAATATTAAAAGTATCATAAACTGCCAAAAGAACAAACAAATACATTGGAAGAAGTATAGCCAGAATGGAAGCCAGAATGACCAGACTTTGTCTCTTACACTTTGGACATTTTATTAGGAGGGTCTAAGAACATCTTGCTTGGTAACGTGGAGGGTTAGAGAAAAAGAGGAAGATACCCAATAAGATGGATTGGCAAAGTGCATTCCATGTTCTGTTTATTAACGGACGTTTGCAGCTGTTTTTTTTCACATTTTGAGTCATACTACATCAATAAATTTGCAATCTATCTGAAGTAAAAACATGTATTTTATAGATTGATTACCACTTATTATTTACTCTGGCTTTAAAACTTAAATGATTCTTCTTTTCCAAAATAATTTTGCAAGTACAGCAATGGTCCGATTTTTTTTTTTTTTTCATTTCCATGTTGCTTTCAGCTGTAATTTAAGTTATATTTGTCAGAACAAAATTTTAGATTGTATAATATTTGATTTAATGACTATAAAAACAAGATGCAGATGTGCTTCAAAAAAATGTGTGTAGACATACTAAAAGATATAGTCTTTCTATGCTAACATAACACTCATGTTTCTGATGCCTTCCTAGTTTGACCCTTAAAAGTGTTTCAGATTCAAAGCCATTCCTAGTGTCTAGGTACTGAGTCGCAGACTGGACTCTGGACTATTTAAAGAGATCATGGGTAACTAAAAAGAGAAGATTAGTTTCTGCTTCAGATATAAGTATATATGTAATATTATCACTCTTAAGTGTATATTTTGCAACATGGACTGAAAAACTTACAGGACTGAAGACTTATGTGTTTAACCTTTCCTTAGTTTGTTTATAAAGTTATGTGAACAATGAAAATATTTCCCTTGTATATCTGAAGTCTTCCATTCTCTGATAATGGCTCTTATAAATCAAAACAAAGGAAATGGGAAAGCCTGAATTTGTATACAGTTTACTGAACGAATGTAGGGAATTGATCCATGTTTTTCATACATTTATGTAATGGTAGAGTTGCGTTAGATTCTTCCTTCCTCTGAACACTGTCCCACCATGCTTAGCTTTAATATTACAAATATTAGGTCTGTTGTTTCTGATGCAGAGATTTACAAAGTTTGTTTTTAACCCTAATTTTATTAGAAACAAATCTTTGGAATGAGTTAAGTTAAGATGTTATTATTGTCATAGTAAATATGGATTTTCTGGATGTATTTTTATCAATGCTGTTACTAAAGGCATTATTTTAGAGGGAAAATGAAGCATTTTAAGTTTAACTTACTGCAAGTCTATTTATATTCTAGCTGACAGAACCATTGTTATTGTTGTTCGGTGCCCTTGAGTTGATTTTGAGTCATAGCGATCCCATGTGAAAAACTAGAACTTCCAGTAGCTATAGTCAGCAACATTTTCTGTACGTCCTGTTTACAGCACAAGCATAGAAAGAACAAATTTACTACTAAATTTTTAACAGATTCATGTCCTCTTGTTCCATGTCCTTATTTCTGAATACAGGGTGTGAATTCTTAGAAAAGGGGAAACAATTGTTCATAGTGGGTTTGGGTTTGGGAGCGATACCTGTTCCCTTGGAAACCTTATACTGAAAATTCAGTAAACACTCTTCTTTGTATCTGTGGCTTTCACTGCCTAATTATTATTATTTATCTTTTTGGAGCTCATGCTCTCATTGATAGGCTTTAAATGCCTGGCATTAAAAAATAATAATATATTTTTAAAATAAAAATAAAGATTTCAGCAATAAATAGATTGGACATAGTCTCTGCCTTCTTAAGTCTCATAATGAATTGTGTCAGAAAATAGAAATAATGAAATATTCAAAACACACATCATGAATTAATTAGCTGCATTGTGATAAATGCTTAAGATTAATGTTCAGAGAACTGTTGTTGCTGTTTGGTTAGGTGCTGTCAAGTCAGTTTGTAGTCATAGCAACCCTAGGTACAACAGAACAAAACATTACCCAATCCTTCGTCATCCTCACAATTATTATATTTAAGTCAATTGTTGCTTCCAAAGTGTCAGCTTATCTCATTGAAGGTCTTCTTCTTTTTTTCTGACCCTCCACTTTATCAAACATGATCTCCAGGGACTCGTGCTCTGGTAATATTTCCAAAATACAGACAAGAAGTCTCAGCATCCTTGCTTCTAAGGGACATTTTGACTGTGGTTAACTATGTTGTGTAATAGGGATGGGCATTTTCTAGCTAGGGGAGGGACTCAAGGAAGATTGCTGTGAGAAAATGACTTAATCTGAGTTCTGTAGAGTAAGTAGGCAGTTGCTGTATGACAGGGGTTGGACACAAAGCCCCAAGCAGGTGCTTTAATGCTTGTGGGCCTGGTGAAGAAACACGAGTGCGGTTATTGCACAGAAGTACCTGAGCAGCAGTGAGAGAGTCTTTGATACACATTTTTACCTTGAACTATATATAACTTTTGCCCACAAAAACAACTCCTGTCTTGTCATCTACTTGGTGATTTTTTATATTCATCATGTGCTATAATTTAAATATGAAAAGATTATGTTTGAAATTAAAGATGATACAGATCTATGTGGTTCAAGCTCACCAGTTGATCCAAAACCCTGTACAGCGTCATTTTGTATTGGAGCTGACTCAATGGCACTTAACAACGTCAATAAAACATATAGATATAGATAGATATGGTCCATCTTCAAAAAAGAAAAGGACTATAGAGACCATCCTTCTAACTCCAAATAGTAATTTTCTCTACATTTTAAGACTTTAAAATAATCTGCAGCACTTTGGAAGATATTTATGTATCATTTCTTGCCTTTTGTTATTGTTAGATGTCGCTGAGTTGGTTCTAACTCATAACCACCCTTTTCAGAGTTTCTGAGACTTTAAATCTTTGTGGGAGCAGAAAGCCTCATCTTTCTCCCACAGGGAGTCTGGTGGGCTCGAACCTTGGACATTGTGTTTTGCATTTAAGTGCTTATCATGTGGCGCCACCGTGCTGCTATTCCGGACTTCACATATATGAAATAGATTTTAAAGAAAGATACTTAATGTCAATCATGTCAAGCTATATAGTAGAGATCTTTCTTCAACATTATTATGCTTTCTGTTTTTTTCTACTGTTTGCTTAATAAATGTGCACACTTTGTATTTGACCACTTTGCTTTTGTCTTTTGCAACTCTAGTCAAATGGAATTGCAGCCATCATTGCTATTTTGGTGCTACTGCTCCTCTTGGGCATCGGTTTGATGTGGTGGTTTTGGCCCCTTTGCTGCAAAGTGGTAAGAAAGAGTTAAAATTTACAGCACTACTTTTTTTTTTTTTTTTAAGTATATATAAAATCTGAAATATGAATGAATGTCACATTATTCAACAGCCTCAAATTATTTCCATAGACAATGCATGTTTATTATAAAATTTAATTTACAGAGAAGTTCAAAATCAGGTTTGGGGGAAGAAAAGTAGGAGATACAGTAGAGATAAGTAGAAGGATTTTCTACTCAAGTACAAGTGAGAATTAAGTAAAATGAATGTATGACATTTTTTTGCTGGGTCCATTGGGAGAAGTTGATAGTCTGTCAGGTTTGTTTTCATCTTGTATATTGAATTCTATAAGGAGCTCTGGAGGTACAACTGGTTAAACATTGGGTTAGGTTGCTAATGGTAAGGTCAGCAGTACAAACCCATCAGTGGTTCTGCTTGAGAAAGATGAGGCTGTCTGCACCTGTGAAGATATGTCATTTTGGAAGCTGTATGGAGCAGTTCTACTTTGTTCTTATAGAGTCTCTGGGAGTTAGAATTGACTCAAAGGCTGTGGGTGTGGTATTGAATCTTCAATTTCCTCTTTGAAAGACTTACTATTTCAAGACATCTCTTTGTCTCTGTAAAAAATATTTTTGACATATATCATGTTCAGATGTTAGAGTGTCTGTTAAACAGTCTCTTTTGAGCCATGACAGGTGGTTTCAGTTTGTGTCATGTTTAGTGTTTGTGTAAAATCTCTGAAAGAATACGAATGTGTACAGTGTTGTCACTAGGGTTGGTGTCACACAATGCTGTAATTCCTGGTGTCACCTCTCTCCCCCATGGGCCTCCACTGGTATCAGACTATACAAAATTCTAGTAATGTTTATTATCAATTTCAGTCATTGAATAACATGATAAGTATAGCTGTAAACTGCTTAAATGTGATATTTCTTAGATTGTATGAATTATTGTTGTTAAGTGCTGTCAAGTCATTTCTGACTTACAGTGACTCCTACTGGGTTTCTGAGGAGCAACGGGTGGGTTTGAATTGCTGATCTTGTGGTTCGTACTCATCTGCTTATCCTACAACACTACAGCAGGAATATGAATATTGACAACAGAATTGTTTTGCAAAATCTTTTGCAAAATATACTTTGAATTACCTTATTAGTAACTGAGAGGAAGCCTTTTTTATTTTTCTTCTTCTTTTCCTTTAATTACTAATTCATTTTCAAAAAATATTTTGATACAGGTTCACAAGTACTACTTACTACAATACTGTAGCTAAAATGTCTGAAAATTTGACAAAATCAGTGATATAAAAATACTGGCAACAACACGACAGCATGTGCTTGTAGTGTGTTGAGATAAAATCATGTAATTTGAAGCATGTTTGTAATTGGATAATAATGACAGGTCTGACTGGGGTGCATTTGACGTTTCAAAAAGTAAATTAGCATAGAGTTTCAACCTTGTAGGTACACTGATATATGAGAGCTGAATTTATTTTTTAAATGTTTTTGTGTCATAACTAACGATAGGATTATTTTAATAAAAATAATAAATTGCTGAAACTGCTTAAAAATTTTATAGACAGTCATTTTGGTATAGCCCCTTTGATACAGTATCATTTGATATAGCTTTCCATGCTCCCCCTTGTCTTCCCAGAACTCCCTAGTTACCTAACTGAATGTTAGTTTTCTATTGTGATGGTAAGAACTTGTCACATCCTTGGTTGGTTATACATTAGGAATTGCTTTTTCTTACAGTTATGCAATCAGAGGTTCAACATGGGTTTCACTGGCTAAGTTGAGCTGAAGACTCTAAGGGGGTGGGTGGGAATCCTTACCATTTTCAGCTTTTAGGGTCTACTTATATTGATTGCTTGGTTTATGAAACCATCCTTCTGTTTCAAAGCTAGCAATACTGCATTTCTTTGACCATTCTTCTATAGTCACATGTCTCAGCCCAGCAAAGAAAGGTGTTCTAATTTTAAGGAACCGTATTTATAATTAATGAACCCTGGTGGCACTGTGGACTAAGTGATGGACTGCTAATTAGAAGGTCAGCAGTTAAAAACCACCAGTCACTCCAAGGGAGAAAGGTGAGGGTGTCTCCTCCCATAAAAATGTAGTCTTAGAAATTCTATATAGAGTTACTCTGAGATGGAATGGATTCTCTGGCAGTAGGATTGGGTTTTGTTTTCATGTATGTAATTTATGTAATTAAGGAGCCTTGAAGGAAAACTGGGTTAAACATTGGACAGCTAGCACAAAGGTTGGTGGTTAGAACCGACCAGCTGCTCTATGGGAAAAAGATAAAACAGTCTGCTTCCGTAAAGATTTACAGCCTTGCAAACCCTGTGAAGCAGTTTTACTTTGTCCTACATTGTGACCATGAATCAAGTCAATGAGTGGGTTTGGCTTTAGTTTTATATATGTAATTAAACTAGATTTATCCAGATAATCCAGGAAAATCTCCCATCTCAAGGTCCTTAATCTCATCTGCAAAATTGCTTTTGTCATGTTAGGTAATCTATTCAGAGGACACCTTTGATGAACCATTTTATTCTGTCTATCAGAGTATGCATTTTGAATAATAAAATTTTGATGTTTCTAGCAACCCAATTTGGATTGTTCAGGTTTCAGAGATTCTTCACAGAAACGATGATGGCACTAGAGGAGCATTCCTTTAAAAGCTTTTGTACTAGTTATTTTTTTAATATTCTTGTTTTTTAATCGGTACATTCTATGGAATTTTATGTTATGTAGGTCACTGCAGTATTTTACATTATATGACTATATTGCTTTTTTTAAAAAAAACTTATCTCCTCAGCTGATGGACTTCAGCTTCCTTGTGATTTCGGGAAGTGCATTTATTATTAATTGTTCTCCAGTCTGCTTTCATGAAGCAACTTTACAATCCGTTATCTTTGAGCCTTTGGCCCACAAGGACGCATAGAATTGATTCAGACAACAGTAGAGACAAGAAGTATCCTGTCTCTTTGAAGAACTAATCAGTTTCCTGCCATAGCGATTTACGCTCAAACGGTTTCCTGTTGTAATCTCCTTGATTATCCTAGATATAGCTGCTTTAGGGAGGCTAGCATTCTTCAGCCTCAAATTAAAAATCAGAAAGGTGTCCTAAAGTGATTTGTGCTCCGTGATTTTTTAATTTAGGCTTCCCAGTGGCGGATTTCCTCTCTTCTTTGCTTTACAATTTCGTTTATTATTGATCAGAGAGCTCAAAAGTGCCAAAACATATGATTTTTTTTTTTTTTTTTTTTGAAAGACACTTGCAAAAACTCAAACCGGTTTCTTTTGGAGATAATCATTTTCTTGTTGCTACATGTCCTCAAATACAGGCCTACATCGTTATTCTAGATAAGAGCAGATCCAATCATTAGGAGATGATCATGGATCCTTTCCAAGCCTACAGATCACAATTCAGACTTGTGGAGTAATTATCTTTATGCAAAGTATAGAAACGCCCCTTTGGTGTAATTTGAGGATGTGAGAAATGTTTCTTGAGAACCATCTGTAAATGCTTATTAATTTATGGAATAAATTTAATAGGGGAAAATACTTGATACAACTTGAATTATACCTTAGAAAGCAGCTAGCCTGGACATTGAAAAAACAAAAAAACTCAGAGCTTCACTTATGGAACCTAACAACAAAAACAACAACAACAAGGTGCTGTCGAGTTGGTTCCAACTCATAGAAACTCTACACACAACAGAACCAAACACTGCCTGGGCCTTCACCATCTTCACTGCTGCCAATCCATTTCCTTGGGTGTCTCCCTCTTTTATACTGACCCTCCATTTTACCAAGCATGATGTCCTTCTCCAGGGACTGGTACCTCCTGATAATATGTCTGAAGTATGAAAGACAAAGTCTGACCATTTTAGCTTCTAAGGAGCATTCTGGCTATACTTCTCCTAGCACAGATTTGTTTGTTCTTTTGGCAATCAATGATATTTTTAATATTCTCATTCCACACCAGAGCTCAAATGCATCATTTCTTCTATGGATCAAATTGGCTTTGATTGTCTACTGTTCCCAGCAATATAACTTTTTAATGTGGAAGGAAATGCATTTATTCAGCCTGGTGTTGCCTGCAATTATTTTTGTTGAATGTGTTTTAAATACTACGGAAATTATTTAAGTATAGTAGTTCAACTGAAACATGACGAAATAGTTTAAAATATTTGTTCTCAAGCACATTGACGCTTATGTCAATTATCCATCTCCTTGGCAATGATGCTCAGAAGCTCGTAATGTGATAGAAAGCCTGGGGTATAGGGGAGTCCTGAACAGAAGCTTCAATCTCTGGCACGCAATAGTCTTTATTCAATTATTTCATATACAAAAGGGTTTTAAAAAGTTTGTGAAAAATGAAATGAAAAGATAACAGATTTTTTCCTACACAATTTTTTTTTTTAAAGCCCCTTGAAGTTATGAAATGATTGCTTAGAGATTAAAATTTAGCAGCTATCTGCTTAGTGACTCAGTGATGGCAAAGTTATTTATATTTTAGTTGATGATTCTTAGTGGTTTTGTTTTCTGCTTCAGATAATGGTAAGGCTTTCAGAGCAGTGAATATTAGGTTAGCACTAGTGATGATTCTTCCTGAGCCAAAGAGGAGACAGTGTGATGAGGTGAGGCATTTCCAGGGATAGCTTTAGTTTGGAAAGGCCACTGATGGTAGACTGAATACTAGCTATCAAAGATATCCAAGACTTAATCCTTGGGACCTGTGAATATTCATTTTGATGGCAAAAGTGGATTTTGAGATGTGATTAGGGTCAGGATCTTGAGATGGGGAGATTATCCTTCATTAACTGGGTAGGTCCTAAATGGAATCACAAATGCCCTAATAACAGTGAGGTTGAGTCAGATTGGATTACAGAAGAGGGGAAAGCAAAGAGGCAGAGATTAGAGTAATATGGTCACAACCAAGGAATGTCTGCAGTCACCAAAAACTAGAAGAACCAAAGAACTGTTTCCCTGGAGCCTCTTGAAGGAACCAG